TTCTGTTTCGGATGGTCATTTAAAAACTAGTGGGTTATATCCACTAACTTAGCTTTATATTAACCCCAATCTTCGTCTTGGGTTCCGACAACAGGTTTAATTTAATTGTACAAGTTTTAAAACTGAGTATAGATGACTGAATCTGTAAATTCCATACAAGAAATGCAAAATTTTGATCCAAGAGATAAAGCTTCTATCTGACAGGTGGATAGTGTAATGTAAGAAAGATTCGTTACATTGTTAGTTTGTGTACGACGTCAATTCCTAAAGGTTTGAAGAGTCTTGCAGTGATTTCTGAGATATCCTTTATATATGGTAAGGCGATTTTCTTTGTGCTCTCCTTGGGGGTATATGCCTTTTGATGAAATTCCGTAGATATCCATTCTTTCGGAAGACGTCCATGAGATATCTTTCTTCAATTTTCCTCAAGGTGGGAGTGTTGTGATGAGTCCTGGCCCTCTTGAATAGTGTTTGTATACAATTTCTTTTGTGTATTATTGGAATGTTGCTGTTGTAATTCAGGATTTGTTCTGTGTGAGTTGATTTTCTATAAACTTGAGTTTCTAATTCCCCTGTGGTTGTTCGCTTGACTAAGACGTCCAAAATGGGATTTTGTTCTTGGATTCCTCTTCTCTTGTGAATTTGATGTCGTTGAAGACGTTGTTTATTAAGTTGTGAGTTTTATCTAACTCGTTTCCTTTGATTATTACAAATGTGTCGTCGTATCCAAATCTTGGGTTTGATATTTGGTAGAATTATGTTGTCGAGTCTTTGCATCACTGCTTCTGCAATCAAACCTGATATGGCGAATGCCATGAGTGTTCCTTTAATTTGTTCATATATTTGGCCGTTGAATTGGAAGTAGGTTGTTAGGCATAGGTTTATGGATTTCATCCAGCTTGTGTGTTACATTTTTGATTGTTGTGGGGGAAGGGTGTTCGTCGTTGTTGAGTAATTGCTTCATGGTCTCTTTTGCTAGTTTCCGTCCAATTGAGGTATATAATTCTGTGACGCCGAACGATACCATTATTTCTTGTTCATCTATTTGTATGCCTCTGATTTTCTCTAGGAGTTGGATAGCAGAGTTGATGGAATGATCACAAGATTCCATTAGGTGTTTTAGGTTTCTGTATAATTCTTTGGATAAATTATATGTTGGAGTTCCTGGGAGTGATACAATTGGTCGTAACAAGCGGGATATTCGGCTTATGTATTTTGGGTCTGGCGTAGAATCAGGGTAGTACTGGTCCATTGGATTTCATTCCCCACTGATCTTGTTTTGTGATCTGTCCAGTTTTGCTGAGCTTGTTTAAGGTTTTTGCGATGCGGTTGTCCAATGTTTGTATGGAATTTGTTGGGAGTTGTTGATATACATCTTCATCTTTGAGTAGTTCTTCAGCTTTGTTGGTGTATTCTTCTCTGTCCATGACTACTGTTGTTCTTCCTTTGTCGGCTGGCAGAATGACGATGTCCCTCCTATTTTCCAGCTTTTTGAGGGCCTTTAGTTCTTGAGAATTGAGTTGTGTGTTTTTTTTTCTGTTTGACCATTGTTACAGTTGTTTGGCGTATCTCTTTCTGTGTTTCCTCGTTCAAGTTTGATGATTTGAGTAATGATTCCAGGGTAGTGAAGAACCAGGAACAGATTCGTTACATATTTATCCGGATTAGTAGGGAAAAAGTTCACACGGTCTTATCATTGGTTAAACTTCTCAACTTATTTTTATATATTTGTTTTCATTTTCCGGGTAACATTGCTACAAAACTGAAGAAATTTCATCTGGCATACTATTGGTAATTCAGATAAAACGATTGATGCATCAGAATGCTATTTCTCACATTTGTATGATTTACTCAAAATACACAAGCCCAGTGATCCTCTACGTCCTGTGATGTCAATGTGTAATATATAAACTTGCTCAACGGTTAGTTACTGTACCCAGAAGTGAGACAATTCTGCAAACATGCATTGATGAATGATACATTCGACCTGATGAATTGCACTCCTTAATTTGTTCTAAACTGCTTGATGCATCTTTAAATAAAATCAAAAAATGGTAAACTGCTAACGGTGCTGTATACTACTGATATACTTATATAAGTAGTTGGACACCAGTTACATTAACTAATGGTGCTTGTTAGGCAAATCGAAGGTATCTAAACACTTAGTTGCCGGTTTGTTCGTTGGCAAATCATGAAACAATTTAGGTAAACTCGTAGTATTCTGTTAATTCTTAGTTTTTTAGCAGGATGGTTTCCAAGTTACTTAGAAGAACAAAACAAACTTGCAATATATACGTATATACGAAAGAATGTTCAAGAAATGTTTCATGAGAAAAGAAGTTTTATAATAATAAAGGTTTTTTGTATTTCCCAATGAATGAAAAACAGAACGATATTGTTTTTACTGACGTTTCGCTATTTAGTGCTGCTAATAACCTTATCAAAGTATTATTAAACAGTTGTCATTCCATATAGAGCAGATACCTCAGACGATATCAGAAGAGTACTCAATAAGCTCAACATCAGAGTTCTCTTCAAAACATGAGACACCCTGTGACGCAACCTTGTCCATATAAAAGACCAAATCCTTAAATATTCTCGATCTAATTATGTCTATAAATAAAATGCTTGGAATTTGATGCGATATACATAGCACAAAAATCACGAAAAAACAAAAATCAGAAGAAATGAACACTGTAGAACATTTGTTCGACCAACGAGAAATTCAGTTGAACTAGCAAAGCTTGGAAAATCATCAGCCTTAGGTCTACACACTATAGAATCAGGCCACAAAATTGATTTTGGTAATATTGAAATAAACCATAAAAATTTCAACAATCACAAAGATCTTCTAATATCAGAAGCAATTTATATCAAATGGAGCGTAGCAATTGATTGATACCACGTGGAATCCAAATTGTCTGAATAGGAATGGATGGACTGAAACAGAATCTGACCTGGTTATAACACCTTCCTCCTCCATGAAATGACAAAATCAACTTAAATGTGATAAGCGACTTCACTATATAAACAAATGCTGCTTATATAATTTTACGCACTTATGAAATCTAGCAATCTACACCTGGTTTTTGTTATGTTTACCATTTGGGTAACTTGACAATGCAGAAATGACCTCATGCTGAGGAGTGATGATTAAGTTGTCATATATATATATATGCTTGGATTTTGTAAATTCTGGTTTAATAATACTTCGATAAAGCTATTAGCAGCACTAAATAGCGAAACGTCAGTAAAAACAATATTGTTTTGTTTTTCATTCATTGGGAAATACAAGGAAAACTTTATCATAATGAGTATCATAGCAATCAGTAAACAGTCAGTTCTAATTGTACAAGTACAAACATTGTTTTGATTACACGAAGAATACGATTTGAATTATACTGCCACACATAGGCAGTTTGCATGGTTATCCGTTAAATCAAAACTGTAGATAACTTGGTTTCAGTTGTTATGTATGAAAACAAGATTTTGCTACATTGATTTCAGAGATACCAGTCAACTAAGTGAATTCATATTTATCACAACAAACAATACACTTGTAGCGATGGAAATTGGTTGTGATAGTTTCTAAATGGTTATAATATTTGACATTTTAAATTCTGAGGTATTAGATGATCTTCTTTCTTGCATGCCTAAGGGATATTTCAGGCATTTAATTTTAAGAGCTCCCCCTTCAGAAAAGTATTAGTGCACTAAAACAGTACCATTCTTCTTATTAGCGTTCTATCTTTACTGAAGTATATTCGAATACTGCTGATTGGTTGAGGAGAGTAGTTGTATACAACTCACATCAACCGATATTACTCGCTAGTTAGATCAAAGTGATCTTAACACCGGAGGGCAGCTTCGCTCAGTTGCAGCCGAGCTCATCAGAAGTGTACTCGATTTGACTAGGCTCAGACACCTAAATCACTACAGACCGCCAGATTTCTGGCTGGCTACTTGAGTGAAGTGGTATCCACTTAAACGAAATCCGCAGTCCACGAACTGATTGGCAATATACAAAATCTGAGGTGAAATTTCACCAAAGTTTCCTTTGGAAACGGAAATGGCAGCCTGTGTAAATCACAAGGCTACCGAAATTACTTCCCATCAAAATGCTTAATTTCATCTGGATTTATCAATGTCTTGATCGTTCGATTATATCAAATGACCTATACATGAACTTTCGCGCTGATTTAACTTGCTTCCAGGTAAACGCTGTGCAACTCTTCAATGAAATGAAGATTTGCTTCAGATTATTACTTTAAATATAAGTCTTGTATAAAGAAAAAGTACTTTGGGACTAAATACGCTGAAAATTTTTGCACCATATGTTCACATTTTGCCTGAAATAAAGCTTTATTATTATTATTTAAAGTTATTTCGATCGCAGTATGTGATTTCCTTGATATCACAAGTGGTAATCAAGAGAGTAAACATATTTGTGTAAAACGATGTAGAAACCAAAATTATTGAGACCACAATATATATTTTTTGTAAACGTGCTCTCATACTGTATTAACTGCAATTTCAGAATTTGATCGAAGTTTAACTGATTACAGATTTTAGTATAATGTGTTGTAAGATGGACATCAGCCTCCTACTGTAAACTCAGTGTCCGAAATCAATTATTTTATCGTCTGTTAAACTTGTGAACTTTTATCTTTCCATACAAAATACTGGCGATAACAGTTATAGGATTATATTTTTATCGTTTTTATTCACTTATAAAATGATAAAGCTTGATAATTAATATTGCTTTAGATTCAAGGTTAAGACTTGTCATTACTATGAAAATGTGACCAATAGTTTTGGTCCACATTATAATTGCATGAATTTTCAACCAATCAGATGAGAATATTTGATCATAGGATTAAGTGTCCTTTTTTCTTCTACCAATCAAAGGATGGCTAGTGATACACGATTAGATAGACGGACATGTACTGCCAAATTCCACTTCTAAAAAATATATAATGTCAGAAATTTGATTATCTTACAAAACTTCTTTTCTTCATATCATTACTGACAGAGGATTTTACATAATGGCTGATCAAAAGTTATCGAAGGCTAAAGTAATTTTTGTGTTGGGTGAGAAAGTAATTTGAAATATTAATTTATATAATATTTTGACCGAAATACCAATAACAAAACTTATCATTGTGTGTAAACCATTGAAATATAATTATACTTTATGTGACTATTGTTTAACATCTATCATTTGTAAAAAATAATTTCATTTTAGTGAACTTTATGCCTTTCATTGGACACTAGCAACCAGTTTGATGTGTCAAGTGGTTTGTTTGGTGTAGACTGAACTCTGTCAGTCAGGTTTGCAATGTGACCACCATTCTAGTTGGCTTACCACGCTTCACATTGATTTGATGATATTAGATGGCTGGAGGCAATCGGCCACAAGAGGCCTTGTACTTAGGTTTCGTGCTAGTCGGCACTCACCAGTCAGCAAGGCATACTTGCAGCCTTGAAGGAACTCATGTCCTTCTCTTGGAGATCCGAACCCGCATCACTTATTGCTTGAGTCAGAAACGTTACCAGCTTAGAAAATTTCATTTGTGATTAAGTCAAATTAGTTATCTGATGATAAGCGTTTCAGGATATTGCAGCCTATTACTAACTGGTATTTATTATGAATAAAATGCCATAAAATCACTTATTATGTACACCTAACTGGGAAGCAGTTATATATTCTTTCCTAAAAATTAAAGTGCGCTAAGAATTGTATTACTAGGAGCAGCCGACAAATGCAGATAGCTTTCCCAAATGTAGAAATGATTTATATACTAATAGAGAGTTTAAATATCTATATCAAAGTGTAATATGTTTCTTTTATACCATGAAAGATTTTTCTACTATGCACTTCATATATAAATTTGTTAGACTGATTTATTTATATTTTTTTGTTGTGTCATTACTCCAGAGGATAAAATGAGCCATCCATAGAGGCAGTTAATATGCTTTGATTAAATTATATTTTCAAGTATTGGTTTTTGTAGGGTTTTTGTTGGATTGATTGGAGGATTTCATCATGAGCTGACATCAGTACTCCCAGGTTTTCCAGGGGTTCTCCAGTGATTCTCTAACTGATGTCAGCTCACGATGAAATTCTCTATGCAATTAAATTATATTTGTTTAATTTTTAAGTTGATATACACACAATCCCCGTTAGAGGTTGTAGAAACATGATGACAGGCTAAACTAATCTGGGCCTTGTCAACTACCTCACTGTGATTGTTAAGAAGTTAGGAGTTTGAAGATTATAGGTCATAGGTGAAAATAATTGCAGTGGCATAGATGTATTGGTTCATTATCATCAGATATTGAATGATCTAATCAACTTCGATTTATTTTATCTCTCTAGTTCTGATAATCTAAGTATTTACTTAGGAAATGTTTGGAAAAATTAATATGTCTATTACTTATTTTCCTTCTCGTGGCAATTAGTTCACTCCTTTCCTGTATACTAATTGATTATGTTAATAAGTTTTTCACTTTATATTTACCCGCATGAGATTAAGACAAGGTGTACATACTTCTGATATGTATGCGTCACAATCCCAAACTATGCTTACAATTCAAAACTGATTTATCCTAACTTGTGTTCACAATGCCATCTGACGGTAGTCAGAAGTCTTGCTAAGTGATAGATACAAACAAAATCGTTCTCAGTGGCGTAGATGCATCCACTCCCTGTGACTTATGATCTTCAATGAAACTGTTTTATATTTCTTTATTACTCCTTTGTCTCACACCTCTGCTCACTGTTTCTATTATGCTTTTCTTGTACTTTCTTCTCTTGCTTCGCGTGCTACACGGAATGTGGCGACTTGAACTTCCGCACATTTGTGCAAAGTTCTATGTCGAAAACAGACAGACAGACAGATACAAACAAACATGGAGGCCTGCTTACATCACCTGGTTACCCAACATTTTCTCATCCATCAAAATGCAGTGCGTCGGTGGCACAGTGGTTAGGAATCTCGCCAACCATGCACATGGTCCGAGGTTAGATCCCCTGCCGACGCACACCTGATATCTATGGTCGGCCTGCTAAGTTTAAGCCACCGATATCCATGCTGAAAATTCCATACTTGTACCGAAAATACAGTGTGGAATCAAGCTGTAATCAAAAAAAAAAAAAAAATATTAAAAATATATAAAATATCATGTTTACTTCATTTCATGTTGTTTTAATTATCTTATTGCGTTCATGAATTGCAATCTAATCTCAAACCAGCATATACAAATGGGTTTCAACCTACTGCTATGAATATTGTTAAGGGAATAGAACAAACATTCTGTACAGCAGTGGAGTATGGTTTGGATAGAACGACACTGCTTCAAATGATGTACAATTGATTGTTGTATTACTTGAGGAGCTCGAACTAGGGGTCAATACTTTGTAATAAAACAAGCTGAAAGTTCTCTACTGTGTTTAAAGCCAACTTTTCAGGATGGAGCTATTATTATTATTATTATTATATTATTATTATATGGTACCTAAGACTGATCATGACCGGTATCCAGGTGATGATTATTGCGTCTTAAATAATGTGTCAGCTCCTGATCGTTATCCCATACCCATTATGACATATCTTACACTGCAAGGGGAAATAATATTCTCTAAAGTCATTTAGTCAGGGCACATCACAAAATCCCAATAGCAGTAGAAGATATTAAGAAAATGTCGAAGTGCCAACTTCCTAGGCTTTAGTCTTTGGAATGTCAAATATGTAGGTGACCGATAAGTGTCAAACTTCAATGAGACAGTTATTAATTGATCTGAGTGGCTCTGACAGCTGATTTCAATTGGCGATGTGATCTTTTTAAAAATCAGTCGGTTCTCCTCATAGTCTGAAAATTCACCTCAAAAATCAAAGTATTACTGGCGAGGTAGACTAATAGATATATGTTCAACCTTCATTATAGTTGTACAATACAAATATGCGTTTATTTGTTGACATCATTAATATCTTGAAGACTCTGATTGCCTTCAATTCCTTGGTTGTAATCTCAGTAGTATAAATAGTGTTTACCTTTTGATTGGACATTAGTAACTAGTGTGATGTGCCTAGTGCTTTGTTTGGTGCAGATTGAATTCTATCAGTCAGGTGTGCAATGTAGCCACCATTCTAGGTAGCTTGCCATCACGATACACATTGATTTGATGATATTAGATGGCTGGAGGCAATCGACCACAGAAAGCCTTGTACTTAGGTTTCGTGCTTGTTGGCACTCACCAGTCAGCAAGGCGCACCTGCAGCCTTGAAGAAACTCATGCCCCTCCGAACCCTCATCACCCAGTGCTGCAGTCAGAGACTTTACCACTGTGCTATTCGGGCCCGCGATTGAACTCCTGTAGGACTGTAGTTGATATTTTGATTGGACACTAGGAACCAGTGTGATGTGTCTAGTCCTTTCTTTGGCGTAGACTGAATTCTATCGGTATATTATTCTCTTCCTGTTTCTTTTATTCATAATACTTTAAGTTATAAGGTGTTGGTACATTCCATTGCGTGTTAGTTTATATGTCAGGGTTTCTATCGCATTAAGTTTACGTTGATGATCATTAAAGTTTTCGTAATGCTGTGGATTTAATTTTGGCACAATATTGATGCACACCTTTGTTGTTAAATTGAAAAAAGTGTAGATCTGTTCTAATTGATTGGTTCCAAACATCATTAGAGATTTAACTGACAAATCCTAGCTACGCAACATTTTGTTCTATTGATATTTCCTTTGATTTTTGCATGTTACATAAATGTGTATTTAAGAGAGAAAGAATTTAAAGTTACACTTAATTTCTAGAACATTTGTTTCTTAATAAGAATTGTGACTCTCTGACAGAGTTTTAACTAATTGGCTGTATTCTGTTTATTAGTTATGTGCAAAACGTGTTTAATCTTTACAATATTTCAAGTTGTACTTTGACGACAACATGTTTGGTAGATTGAAGCGACCATTAAAAAAATATGCGTTAGTGAATAAGTGAGTGAGTCTACCACATATTACCGTAGATTAAGTCTCTGACACTAATATTAATGCAATTGAAAAGATTTTAACATTTTGGAATTTTACACTATTTATTTACCTTCTTTTTGTAAAATAATCTCAGGTTTATTGGGTTCTGCGTCTCGATATAAATTGTAAAGGAATGTTGTTAACCTAAATTAAATAGACCTTATCGTTTGACCTTTGACCTTATCGACAAAATATTAAATTGTGCACTGTTTCATAGGTGAAAAATAAAGCTGAAGTTACTTACTGAAATGATCACTGAGTGACACAGCATGCTATGCCCACGAGTGGAATCCTAAGGAGGAACGAGAGGTTGGTGAGGGGGGGGGGTAGTGGGGTTCTTTAAGTGACATAGAGATGATCGCATTGTGAGGAGATGAAAGCATATGCGCAATCGTGGAGACAGCTAAAGCGGATTTTTGAGAACTGGAAAAAATTGAAATGTTCTGTTTAAGCTCCGTGTTTCATTCGGAATCCAAAGGAATAATAATACCAATATAATAATGCTGAAATTACCTACATTCATAATATGAAACCGATTCTTAATTATAAACGATTTGGTAGCGATTTAATGCTTCACAAAGAATTACGACTTTATTTTAGTTTGATCGCATGAAAGATTTAATCATGAGCTGACATCAGTTAGAGAACCACTGGAAAACCTGCAGGGAGTACTGGACGGCTGTTTCGTCTTAGTTCTCTTCAGCAGCACGCCCCCACTGGGATTCAAACCCACGACCTTCTAGTTACAAGGCAAGTGATCTCGTAGACCACTGAAAAACTGGGACCTGATCCAATGGTCCTTGAATTCTAACTTCTGCCAATTCACGACATAGCGCTTCAATTTATTTTAGCATTCAGGTGAATATTGGTACATAAAGTGATTCCAAAATATAAGGTGGATTAATGTTACACTTTTTTTCACAAGATTTCTATTTTTACAGGTTTCTGCTTTTTCATTTTAACTATGCCTTTTTAATTAAAAAATAGTAGGCGTAAAAATATGTGTTGTCTAATGGCCTGCCGACATAACTTATCTCTTTTGCAAAAGAAATTCATTACCATCGGTAGATAGATAGATAGATAGAGACAGACAGACAGACAGATAGATCAGAACAGCTAACATGTAGAAATAGATACACACACAAAAGAATCATTATTGTGAGACGGAAGGTTAGTCGAAATAGATATTAGTAAATAAAAATAAGTATATTTTAGAAACTTTATTCAGTGGCGATTCACTTCTTTACTGACTGTCTGGGTTGATCTTCTTTATCTAATACACTGCTTTGTGATCAATAAAATGGTAGCGCACTGTGAAAGTGTATTTGGTCATAAAGATCATAGTATCTTATTAGTAAAGATTAGCCATCTAAACGTGGCTATGTTACTCTTACACAACTGTAGCTAGTTCGTTTAGGTGTCCGACTCACAACCAATTGGTCACAGGTTCGAATCCCGCCTCACGTACCAAGGTTTGGGCAGCCCTGGGTGGTATAACCAGTGCCCACACGAATTAATATGGCTCACTGTCAGCTGCAAGGAATTGCAATCCTATTACACGCCTTTAACCAAAGCTTCAAGCAAAGTTTTCGACAGTTAAGAAACTTGGGTAATTTTAAACGAAAATAATTCCACCTTTCTCTATCCTCCAGTCAACACCTGTGTTAAGTGATTTATTACCTCTCCAAGTTAATTAATATAAAGTACATAGAATTTAAAGTACATATGAAGTAGCTATAAATATCATTTCTTACTCCTATAATGCGGTTATTTATGAACCATAAATTACTTTGATTATCGTCACTGTGTCTTTATTATGATGTACCATTATCTACTTTAATTTTTAAGAAAAAGTAATCCACAACGGGAAACGCATGGAATCTTTCGAAGTAAAGATGGGAGTAAGAAAAGCTGGCTGGCTGCCCACTACCTTCAATGATTTTCCTGATTGTGATAGATTGAATAATGAGACAGGCAGTGGAGGGCAACGAGAAGACACGCATAAAATGGACCCACACAAAACCTTGGAGGATCTGGACTTCACCGGTGATGTTTGTCTGATTTCCCACAAAACACTGGAAGATACAAAAGTAAAAAGCAACAAGTTCACAGAAGAAGCATCCAAAGAAGGTAGGACTTTAGGTGAACATAGAGAAAACGGAGGTAGGTGACGAAGATTTCTGGCCAACAGCAACAACAACAGACAACAATCAGCACAAATGGGAGGAATCTGAAACAAGCAACCTTCTTTACTTACCCACCTGGGAAGTATCGTTTCAACTACAGGCGGATGTAAATAATGAGGATGTTGAGGAGAGGATCAGGAAGCAAGGCATTGTTTCCCTACTGTCAAGTCTATGTGGAGGTCAACAGTACTCAGCATGAAAAATAAGATCCGAATTTTTAACTCCAATCTGAATTCAGTGCTACTTACTATAAGGATCAAAGATTTGGCGCCTCGTCACGAACGGCACTTTTAAAAAACTGTAGACCTTCATCAACAGATCTCTTCGCTCAGTACTCAAGATCAGATGGCCGCTCAGAAAAGATCAGCAACAGGGATCTCTGGCAATGAGCACACTAACCAGGAACCGATTGTGAAACAAATCTGCAGGAAGAAATGGAGTTGGATTGACCATACTCTGATAAAACAAAACATCACACTGCAGGCTATCACTTGAGTGGAACCTAAACTGGAAGCGGCAAGCTGGTCGTCAGTGCGAGTGTACCATGGAGGAGGTTATGTGAAGAGAAGATAAAATCATATGGGCAGAGGTCGAGCCAGGTGAAAACGTTGGCGGAGAACTGAGCACAATGGAGACGTGCGAATGAAGCCCAGTTTTCCTCTTCGAACTAAAGGAAACAATAATAATAATATGATAATTTTTAATAAAATGATTCCACATTCCTTGACAATAAAGAGAATAAAGAATATCAAAGAAAATGGACGTTAATCAGAAGACTATTACTGAAAGAGATGCTATCCTTCAGATACAAAAACACTGACTGTATCACATGAATGCTTAACTAAGAAAATGTCAGACTTCATTTTATTTCTATCTTCGGAGTTAAAAAATGATAGTTTTGTGGTGTTTAGCCAAGTGTTGTTTAATTCTTTTTTTTAAATCAAAACTAACTGACTTTTGTGTTATTGTTGTTTTTCTTCTTTTCTCTTTATATATTGATTTCAGGTGGACCAGGAAGTGGTAAAGGTACACAGTGTGTGAAATTAGTTGAAAAATTTCATTTCAATCATTTATCAAGTGGAGATCTGTTACGTGATGAAGCGAAGTCAGATACGCCTAGAGGCAAAGAGTTAAGAACTATAATGGAGAAAGGAGAATTAGTTTCTTTGGTAAGAAATTGTTTTACACTGTAACAACTTTTGGCTTGACTTGGCAGTATAGTAAATTAACAAGGATTGTATTGTACAGTGTTTTTTTTTAAATAGACAAGTAGATTTACTGATGCGATATTTTGTGTTGGAAACCTTTTGGTAAATAAGATAATTTTTTATATAAAGTTAAATTAAACTACACTTTGAATCGTAAGATATGTACTGAGTAGATCGTGATCATTTTTTTAAAAAGTTACTCAAAGTCATAAAAGTCAGATCACTACAAGAAATAAATAAGTACTAGGTGAACAGTGTGCTATGCATGTCCCGTGACATAATTATGTCCATTTGCAGTGTCTACTTATAAATTAATCCATTCAAGGTCTGACTAAAATCTGACATTCTGAAGGACATATGAAATTATTTTATTACATAATCTCATATCTTAAAATTTATTGCAACCACCTTCCACTAACTGCCAGTTATATCGATAATACTTCTGTTATTTGACGGTCAAAGATTAAAATTTGTCACAATTTGTAAATATAACTTCACGTATGCTTTTCTGAAGCTCACCGGATATAACTACACAATCTGTTCAGTACCATTTTTTTGCCAAATGATGATTTTACTCCACACTAGTAAAAGCCTTTTGTCCAGTGAGAAAAGCTAGTCACCTAAATGGCTACTACCACTACTACTACTACTACTACTACTTCAGTTACTATTTCGTTGAAGATGACATTTCATTTCACTTCCAGTCATCTCTCATTAAGTCCCTACTAGTATACCATTCCAAGGCTATCCTAGACAGCCTCACCATCAGTAGCAGAGTCTGTTTTGCGGGCGGATACTTCCTTTGTTGTCAATATCACTTATTAGGCGTTTACAGTTATGATTAAAATAATGTTTCCTCAGTTAGTAATAGTTTAAAATCCAAGGGGCTAACATAAAAAAGACATGAAACAAGCCTATTTTCTGATTAAACTAAGCTACTACCACTTTTGCCAAGGGTTTCGCCTCTTTGCCTTCATCATCAGTACGTGTTGAATGGGCTTCATTTTTGACTTTTGTCTATTCAAAACACTTTCAATTCTCGAGTATGGGTAAATTTTCCCACTAGTCTGATCACATAGTGTTTTATTTAGTAATTCTTTGTAGTCTGTTGTGATTATAATCACGACCACCTTGATAAGATTGTTAGCCGTAAATTGTTCTCGAAACCTCATCATTTAATAATACTTTATCTTCAACTATTGGTTTGTAGGGATTGGGTTGATTGGTTACAGGATTTGATCATAAGCTGACATTGGTTCGAGAATTGGTAGAAGTTAGAATTCACTGACTGGTCATTGGATCGGGTCCCAGTGGCTTAATGGTCTACAAGCTCACTAGCTTTGTAACCAGAAGGTCCTGGATTCGAACCCCGGTGGGCGCGTACTGATGGGGAGTCCAAAACTAGGACGAAACAGCTGTCCAGTACTGCCAGCCGGTTTTCCAATGGTTCTCCAACCAATGTCAGCTCATGATGGAATCCTGTACTTTATGTGATTTTTTATCAAATAAATGTATTCTATAATGGCATTATACTCAGTCATAGTACATGAATTCTATTCTTATAGTTGTAATTTTATGTTAGTTGACTAACAGGATGTTAGTGGCATATTGCTGATATTACTATTTTAGAAGAAATTATTGACTGTGTGTGTGTGTTTCATTTACGGAAGTATTTCAGGTATCGGTATTAGGAATTTTAGTATTCAAGGAGAGAATCATCTATCTTGACATTTAAAAACTAGAAAAAATATTCAAGTATACATGAAGATAAAACAGTCGAACAACTTTTTCGCTTACTAACCTTTCTATTTAAACAAAGTAATAAGAAGACGTAATTTGTCTAGATCGTGTAATGTATTTACTCAACACATTCCGAACAATTTGATCATACACGGAATAGTCATAGGAATATATATGTGAATTTAATAAAGAGTTAAGGGGTGAAGAAGTAAATTTAGAACAAGTTAAAGGGATATATTGAAGGTAAAAATAACAATAAAGATCACTGAACCAAATAAGAGAGGTAATAGTACATCTACCTTGACTGGTATCAAAACAAAGTTTAGCGGGGAAGGTTTTGTGGGATGATGAAATGTTGTTGAACTCGTAAAGGTGGTTTAAACTTCCTACCAACCAACAAGTAATAGGTAACTTATAAATTAAAAAGCATCTTGTGTATATCCAACGAAATGTTTTACATTCCTTAATAAGTAAACTTATCATTTAGGGCTATTCATATCTGGCATGATGTTGTTATTACTGTTTCCTTTAATTCCTAGAGGAACACAGGGCCTCAGCCGCTCGTCTCCATTGCGTTCGGTTCTCCACCAACGTTTTCACCTGGCTTCACCCCTGCCCACATGATTTTATCTTCTCTTCACATGACCTCCTCCATGTCACCCTCGAACTGATGACCGACTCGCCGCTTCCCTTTCGGGTTCCACTCGAGCAATGGCTTGTCTAGTGATGTCACTTGATGGTTTCCTCAGAGTATGGCAAATCAGTACACCTCCATTTCTTCCTGCCTATTTGTTTCGCAATCGGTTCCTGGTTGGTTCGCTCATTGTCAGAGATCCCTGTTGCTAATCTTTTCTGGCCAGCCATCTAATCTTGAGTAGTGTTGAGCGAAGAAAACTGTTAATGAAGGTCTGTAGTTTGTTTGAGGTGCTCTTTATGACGCGCCAAGTCTCTGATCCTAACAGTAAGTAGCAGTGAATTCACATTGGAGTTGAAAATCCGGACCTTATTTTTGATGGTGAGTGCTGTTGACCTCCACACAGATTTGAGAGTAATGAAAGCTTGTCTTGCTTTCCTGATCCTCTATTCGATATCCTCATCAGTTCCATCCGCGTGTAGTTGAAACGATGCTTCCCAGGTAGGTAGGCATAATAGCATAAATCCTAACATACTTTGATTACGTGGCCACTTGTTAACTTATCCTCATTGTATACAAAACTAGTGAAATTAAAATTTGAATACAGGAATTCACTTTCATTATGTTCAGATTATTCAGTATTATAGTTAATTAGTTTCACGTTGTTCTATACATATGGTCGCTTGAAGAATAAGAAATATTTGTTTGTTTTCTAAACGTTTATTTCTGTGTGTTTAAGCAGTGAACCTATAATACAGTCTAGTGTTATTGACCAGCCTTTGGTTGTCAGTCTATGTAGTCATTTTACATAGGCAAAATCTCTTAGTGTTTCTAATGTTTTTGATGTAGTTGTGTTCTCTGGGTTGGATGGTTTATTTGCAAAGATTTCACTGCCCTACTAGGTGACATCTTAAGCGCACACTTCCATTTGAAGTGAGCTTTTGGATTTCTCCACGAGTTTATTAATCATTTCTTCCCTTGGTGACCTTGAACGCGATTGGTTGTTTTTGTGTGTTTTCACACCTTTTGTATTGGAACTGATTGTTTCCTTGACTTAAACTTTGACCTTTATGTGTGAGATTTCCTTCTTATCGATTGCTAAATTTTGTCTATCTCGATGTGTCTATTGATTGATGATTCTTTAGCATTCTTGTTTTTTCCTGTATCTAATATTTGAACGTTGTCCCACTCGAATTGATGTCCGTGGTTGTCTGTATGTAGTGATATGAGGGAGCAGATGTCATATCTTTTGATGGCTACTTTGTGATCATAGATATGAAGACGAAGGGGACGTCCACTCTAGCTAATGTAGTGTTTTTCGCAGTTGTTACAATTTATTTTGTAGATAATATTGGTTTTATCTTCTTTCGTTGTAGAGTCTTTTGGTTGACATAGAGCCAGCTGAGTGAAGCGATTTTGTTGGTTTGTGTGTGACGTTAATTCCTTAAGGTATGAAGAGTCTTCCAGTGATTTTTGAGATGTCTTTTATATACGGTAGGGCGATTTTCTTTGTGGTTTCCTTGGGGGCTTTTGATTTGGTAGGTTAGCTCGGGGTTATATGCCTTTTGATGAAATTCCATGGATATCGATTCTTTCGGAAGACGTCTATGAGATATCTTTCTTCAATTTTTCTTAAGGTGGGAGTGCTGCAATGAGTCCTTGCCCTCTTGAATAGTGTTTGTATGCAATTCCTTTTGTATGTTATTTGATTGTTGCTGTTGTAATTCAGGATTTGGCTTGTGCGAGTTGATTTTCTATAAACTTGAGTTTCTAATTCCCTTGTGATTGTTCGCTTGACTAAGACGTCCAAAAATGGTATTTGTTCTCGGATTCCTCTTCTCTTGTGAATTTGATGTCGTTGAAGACGTTGTTTATTAAGTTGTGAGTTTTATCTAACTCGTTTCCTTTGATTATTAAAAATGTGTCGTCGTATCCAAATCTTGGGTTTGATCTTTGGTAGAATTATGTTTTCGAGTCTTTGCATCACTGCTTCTGCAATCAAACCTGATATGGCGGATGCCATGAGTGTTCCTTTAATTTGTTCGTATATTTGGCCGTTGAATTGGAAGTAGGTTGTTAGGCATAGGTTTATGGATTTCATCCAGCTTGTGTGTTACATTTTTGATTGTTGTGGGGGAAGGGTGTTCGTCGTTGCTGAGTAATTGCTCCATGGTCTCTTTTGCTAATTTCCGTCCAATTGAGGTATATAATGCTGTGACGCCGAACGATACCATTATTTCTTGTTCATCTATTTGGATGCCTCTGATTTTCTCTAGGAGTTGGATAGCAGAGTTGATGGAATGATCACAAGATTCCATTAGGTGTTTTAGTTTTCTGTATAATTCTTTGGATAAATTATATGTTGGAGTTCCTGGGAGTGATACAATTGGTCGTAACAAGCGGGATATTTGGCTTGTATATTTTGGGTCTGGCGTAGAATCGGGGTCGGATTGGTCCATTGGATTTCATTCACCATTGATTTTAATGTTTACGCCCGAGTATGCGGAACGGATTTTGCGTTCGTAACGGGCTTAAGAGCCACACCAATGGTATAAGGCCTGGCGACTTTACCAAATTAACCGGACTGAAGTAAGCGGAGTGAGACGCGAATTCGTAACACATCAGCTACTGTTAGATGTCTTGCAGTTACTTAAGTTCTCGTCGTACTCTTCATCAACACACAATTTAACTCATTCCAAAAATGGTTTAATGGAAGATTGATGTCAAAATGGAATTGTAATAATCCGCGTTTTGAGTACCTTTTTCAGAGGATATTAATATTTTTGCTTATATTCATTAAAACAAATAATTTTCAAGAGTTAGTTTATAAGGATCTGATTTGTTTCAGGTTTGACCACGAACTGATATCAGTTAGAGGACCAATGAAAACCAAAGGACACTGGATGCTTATCTTGCCCTGCCTTTGGACTCATCAGTAGTTCTCACCCTCTGGTATTCGAACACAGGATCTACCGGTTACCAGAGAAGCTCGTATACCATTTAGCCACTGAGGCGTGACTAAATAGCCCATGAAATCTAACGTCTATCGATTAATGACTTGTTGGCAGTCCTGTGTTCAAGCCTCAGCGGGTGCTTAATACCGTTGAGTTCGAAAGAAGGGAGAGACAGTTATCCAGTACCCTATGGTTTTCAGTGACCCTCTTACTGATATCAGTCCATGGTCAAACTTGAAACGACAGGTAACTTCTAGAAAAATAAATTGAACATTATTAATGTCTGTCAAATGTATAGATGTTATTAATTGTACTTTATAGGTGTTTTTCACCTAATAATTCATTGTAATGTCCTTTTATTTTTCATAATACATTTTACTAATCTTACGATTTTACACATTTTTAGGATATTGTTTTAGCTTTACTGAAAGACGCTATGATTAAATTGGTTGATAAGAATTGTTACTTCCTTATTGATGGTTATCCTCGTGAATTGGTTCAGGGCAGTCGATTTGAAAAAGAAGTAAGTTCAACAGGTGTATAAATAATGATAATACTGTTGAACTATTATTCAAGTATTTGTTTACCTCTACACCTGACCTTAACAAGACAAACAAACACTGTAGGGTTGAGAAGAATAGAATCTGATGAGAAATACTTGTGAAGTTTCAGCCTAGTTTCCCTTCATTTAGAACTAAATATTTATTTGAAAGTTTATCATGTTTTCGTGGAGCTATGAATAATGGGCTTGACTTCCGAACACTGAGCCACAGGTTCGAACCCCGCTCCACATAACAATATGTTGGCAGTCAAGTAGTACCATTGACTCATTTTCAACTACACTGAAATGGAAGTGATTTTTGTGTTGCATTCATATTATACTTTTGGAATCACTGGTGAGTTGTAAAGTAACGGTATACATTTCTCAAGAATGCAATCAGTATTCTTTGAACTTAGATATGAAGATATTGCCTAGAAGGATATTGAAAGCTTTGTGAATAAACAAGGCAGTTCAGAGAACTGAGCAACACAAGGAAGGCATTTAAGCCAACCAGGAATCTGGTACATATCTTTGAGACTATCTATTACCGACAATTATGAACTGTAGACTGAGGTGATGTGATTTAATATAAGATTTAACTGACCAACATTAAGCTATTGTGGTGAGACAATCAAATTGTCCAGAATGCCTGGATCCCGCTTCTTCTTTAGATACACAATACTCATATAACTTAAAATATCATAATTATCTTTTTCTTTAAAAAATTAGTATTTGTAATAAAAGTAACATTATTACTAGTCGTTAGACTGTTTTATATTCTTTAGATAAAGAATTCTTTAAGAAGGCTTTTTCGATTTAAGAGAAAAACTAGCAAGAACTTTCATGTGATAATTAGATTATTGATTGTCTACATTCGTCTTGTAAATCACCTTTCACAAGAGAAAGAAACAGTAAATCGGATTATTTAAAAAGCCTAAATTATTTAAATGATAAGTTTGTTGGTAAACCTTAATAAATAAATTGGGTATTTTGAGTAAATGACCCAACAGATTGACTTATTTTGTAATTACATAACTTTCAAGGACTTGCATAACAATAATTAACAGTTAGTAAGGATTAGTATTAGTTAGCGAGTCGGTGAAATCTAGGAAGTAGTGGACAGAACTATTTGGTCTTAGTTCGCGACTCTTCAGTAACGCGTACTCCTCACGACTTGTCACTAAAACTCTGAGAAACGTTGTCCTGTAGGGTTAGTCACTGGTAAGAATTATGTTCAATGTGAGGAAAAAACATATTCTTCGATGATATTGGTTGGTGGTCGCCGTTAGGCTCTATCCCATTTGCTGGACAGTCGATAAGGTCGCCTCGTAATCTATAGGTCCTGGGTTCGACCTCTGGTGGGGTCATTGCTGAGAAGTCTCCAGCTAGCACGAAACAAATGTCCAGTACTCTTTGGTTCTCAATGATTCTTTAATTGAACTCAGTTCATTATCAGACTTGAAACCAATCAAATCTCCATAAAAAACAATAGAAAGGAAGGATTTATTTATAACTGCTATTTTAGATTGTGTTGTAAACGCATACTTGAATATTTTATTATTTGCGTTGCGTTTACTTTATGAATTCAGAAGAAAAAAATGAAACGAGTTTTATTTATAGTTCTGTATCAACATTCATCTCAAACTGTATACATAGATCTTATCAGTGTAATTGCATGCATCTTTAGAATATTTTTATCACGTTTATAAAATGAGCCGTTTATTCTAAATTGTCATTACTAAGGCAACCAAATAAATAGATCAGATAAAAATTTTAATTTTATTCTGTTTGGCTATAAATAGCTAAGGTTTCTCCCTCTCTTTTTTTTAAGAAATATTCTTTGTTCATAAGCAGAGATAGTTTCATTTTTCACTGATAGGCATGTTTTTATACGAAGGTAGATAAAAATACACATGAAAAAGAAATCAAATCCAGTTGTTTATATTTCATCTTCGTCCATTCTTTTTATATATCTATTTTTAGTTGATAAGTGAAAGTATCTGATATTGTCTTATTTACTTTTATAAAACTCTCCGTTTTAATATTGCATTAACAAATCTACACCAAACAACATCAGTAAGAGAGATCACTAGAAACCATGAAACAAAGGATAGCTGTTTCGTCCCATTCCTTTGGGACTCTTCAAAAGTGTACACTCAAAATCCCATCAGGAATCGAACGCAGGACAATGTCAAAGTGAAGTGGTCCCTAATTCATTCAACTCCAACCAAAGTGGCTGAAATGGTCCCATAACCTTGAGGTCCTGGGCTGAATCTATGGTGAAGTCGTAGGATCGTACCGCCGAGAAGTTCACAAATAGGACGACATAGCTGTCCAGTGTACCCTGCCTTTCGGTGATTACTCTACTCAATGTTGGTTCTTAATGAAAATCTAACAGTTGAAATCTATCCAGAATCCCTACAAATCGAATAATTTTAAAATTTAGAAATAAATGAAATCATGTCCAGTAGAAGATATTAAATTCAGTATTATATTATTATTGCTCCCTCAGGTTCCTAGTGTAATATAGCGCTTCACCTGTACGTCCCCACTTGCTTATGTCTTCTGCTGTACTTTTCACCTGCCTCCATGTTATTCCATGCTGTTTCAACTCCTCTTCACACGATCTCCTCCACGTCACCCTTACACTGACACCCCACTCGCCGTTTCCCTTTCGGGTTCCACTTGAGCAATGGCCTGACGCGCGCGCGATGACAACCAGCGGTTTCCTCAGTGAGTGTTCCATCCATCTCCACTTTCTCCTGCATATTTGTTGGGCGATTGGTTCTTTTTACGAATTTTACGATTCACTTTATGCAGAGTGTTAATTAGCGCTGAGCAGCAATTAGTATCCACAGTGTAGAGCGAAATCATGTTTTCTTTAGAATCAAAACATTTGAAAAACAATGTTGAAATCATGTTACTGGGATATTTGTGTTTAGCATTTCTTTATTGACTAATTATCGAAGGCTATCTTTTAAATGGAACCCTGAACCTACTCCACAGAAAAACTCATAAATTTTCTTTTTTCCATCGTGGGGTTCTTTTCGGTTCACTGTTTGCTTTCTCCTTTTATTTTACAGTAGAACCATCTAAGGTCTCTGTAATACTTCCTTCAGTAATTTGTTCTTCCTGTTATAACCCTTCAACATGGGATACTTATGTGAATTTTTGCGAAACTGTATTGATTATTGTTGAAATTTATTAACCGTTCCTTCATATTTTAAAAGGGAAGGCGTATACTGCTACGAATTATATTACATTTGGTACTAGCTAGCTTTGAGGAATATTTAGCTTATTCAGAGTTCAGATAGAATAAAATCTTTACACAAATGAATTTTCAAGTTTCATCACAGACTAATATTAGTTGAGGAACTATTGTATACAATGAAGTACTGGAAAGCTGCTTCCTCCTAGTTTTGGACTCGAACTGCGAGTTGATAGATATTAGGATTCATAAGCCACTGAATTAGGTCCTAGTGTCTGACTGGTAACTTTATACCCTGAATGTCCTAGGGGTTCTATCCTTGGTAGGGTAGCCTACCTACTCTTGAAGAGTCTCAAACTGAGATGAAACAGCTTTCCAGTTTTCCTTGGTCTTTAATGGTTCCTTAATGGATATCAGTTCATGATCAAAGCTGACAACAATCAAATCCATACAATTTTTTCACTTAAAAGCAAAATCAAGTACAAATTATTTAAAGTGCAAATTAGAATACAAAAGTTAGATTTAAAAAAAAATATTCTTCATATTTCACACAATAATGATTTATAGGAATCCACTTTCTTTTGTGTGAAAAAATTGTATCACTCTATTCTACTCTACTCTACATGTGACTGAAAGAATGAAATAATCTGCAAATTTTAAACTATCTTATGATTCAAAAGTATTAGGAAAAATAATGCGGCTTTAAAGACTTTTTCAAAAAAGCTTAAAGTGTACTTAGATTATAAATATTTCGGAGGTCTGAGATAAGATGGTATATTGTATTGAATAAGAATACAAAATAATGATTATATATGTTTAAATAAGTAGGATGAGTAATTATACAATACGAATAGACATTTCAAACTTAGTAATGGGGAAATAATCAGAAAGTTCAGATGGAAAACATCATTGGATAATAATTATTGCCGAAAAAATTACTGTTTTCTGATGGCCACGATAAAACAAAGGTTGGATATCCTTCTTTAGGATACATAACTTTAGCCGGAATTTTTGGATCGCCAATGCCTCAGTTATACCCTGATGTCCTGATCTCAGTTCTTTTAAGAGTTTTGATTGAATCTTGTACCATCAGCCCCAACGGGTTGATCTCTGACGAAATCTAAGCACGGATACAGAGGGCTGGTTTCGCATATGCCAGTTTACGCCGTCTCTGGTGTAGACGTAATTTCCGAGTACCGACCAAAGGGCGGGTGTACTGCTCATCAGTTCGCTCCGTCCTCTTTTATGGCTGTGAGACCTGGCACAGTGGTTAGGACTCTCGCCGACCATCCACATGGTCCGAGGTTCGAGCCCATGCCGACGCACAACTCATACCTATGGTCGGCCTGCGAAATTTGGGCTACCGATATCCACGCTGAAAATTCCATACTTGTACCAAAAATACGATGTGGAATCAAGCTGTAATCAAAAATAAAAATAAAATAATCACCAATTGTCTCCAGCCATTGGTGTTTACTGTTCCGAGTATCCCAACCAGGAAGTCTACGTCTTCCTACGTGGCTTAAACTAATTGTTGTGGATTTCACTGACAGATGAGGTCATGTTATGGTTTGACCACCACTGGCACTTTTCCAACCTGACCCATGTTAGCTAACACTGCTCATCGAGGAAGACGATGGCAGCTCGGTTGAGTGAATATCAAAAGTTCTAAACTGATTAACACTATCTATTTGGTTCAGGATACTTGTGTTTATTGACAAAATAATCCGGCAATGCGTAACAAAAGTGAGCACTGCTCAATGATATAAATTCATATAGCTTGGTTACTTCTCCAACTGATTTATCTACCGTATCTGATGAACTACGAATAATCTCACTTTTATATGGTCTTTAGTTCTATAGTGTAAAGTCTTCACAGTAAATTTATTGGTTTGTTTTACTCTGTAGCAACATAGCAGTTATGAAATAAGAGAGAGGATTGCTAGCTTAGAAGGATGTTTTTGGCTCAGAGAATTCTTGTCGATACTTATATTAAGAATATCCTTTCACTACTGCAGACAACAATAATTTCAGTCAGTTATATCCACTGATCATCAATGAGAGAAATATTTCATTCTTGAAGCCTCTTAATTTGTACTAGGTGGAGTGTTTTACTTGATTTCCAAACTGCTTAACGACAGCTGTTCCGTATAATGGAAACCATTTAGTGAATAGAAACGTATATCGTTGAAGTTTCTTGTTACCTCTATAGCAGATTAGAGTTTATACAAAACACTTTAGTTGCGACAAGGCTTCTCTTGTGTACGTTAGTCAAACAGATTAAAACAAATACTGACTTTGTTGTAATTGTACTTAATCACAAAAGTGATCCGAAGTTCGGTCCCAGGTCAATACATTCTTTAACCTAGCTTGACGAGTAGTAAGTCGGGTAAAGAGGGTAAGTTGGGTGTGAGGCTGGCAACCTCACACCACAAAAGATAAACACTACTACTGTAACGACAGAAGACAAGGGCCAGGCAACAGACCATTTATTGTGAAAATCAACAGATATTTACAGATTCGTATGTACATTATTACTCGTTATTGTCAGCAGAGAGGTAACATCTTCTGATTGGTTGTTTTCCTGCTGAAGGTTATTCTGTCATTTGTTTCGTTGCCGATTCTTAAACAGTCCGTTGATGTATCTGCATATCGAATCCACTCAGGCTAAGTCTGCTGTGATGCCTTAACAAGGCAGGAAAAAAAGTGGCATTCAAAACCCACAAACCCAATAGAAACAAGCTTTGTCGGTTAAAGGATCCTATGGAACCTTTGAAACAAAACAATTTAGTTCATCTAATACCCTTCAATGACTGTCAGCTCAAATACATTGGTCAAAGTAGTAGAATAGGGGCAGTCAGACTAGCCGAGCACACAAACCTAGCGAAATTTAGATTAGTTGACTCTAATAAGAGAAGGAGTCTGGAGAATAGCTCAGCTGAAGCACTCACTACATGCAGTTACGCACAACCATACAACGGGATGGCATAATATGATAGTGTTAAAATCTAATGTAACAGGATGGAGAGAGATTGATAACGAATGCTTTATTTATCGAATCAACTGCAAACACATGTAATAGGAATGATTCAACACATGTCCCAGACATCTGAAAAATTCTATACCCCTACAACAAATAGGAAAGAATAAATAAAACTATAAAACGGAAGTTGTTTTGAAGTTGTGTGATTGTGACTGGTATGATTATGAAAAATAAATTGTGTTCGAAATGTCATCCAGTAAATAATGCTGTTTCACTGGGTGATATATCTAATAAACAAACTAATATGGGATTATTTATTGCCAAAGTGCCCAAGTTTTACACATATATTATTTTGTTAGTACTGTTTTATTATTTTTTTTTGAATTCTTTCTTTCTCTCTCTCTCTATGTCTCTATGGTATTTCTTGTAGATATCCCCTTGCTTATGCGTCATTAATTTTGATGTCAATGAAGATGTTATGCGACAACGTCTATTGAAACGAGGCGAAACAAGTGGACGTGCTGATGATAATGAAGAAACAATCTTAAAACGTTTTAATACTTTCAATGAGTTGACTAAACCTGTTATTGATCATTATAAGAAACAGAATAAAGTGATTACTGTAAGTGTATAAAATTCTATTTATTTCGTTATTGAAGATGGCATTGTGCTATTGTTCATTTGCTGATGAATATTTTTTGATATAACGGGTGGTGATTGAGACTGAGGTGAAGAGATTAATGGTGAGGCAATTTAAACCAGTGGTCTCTAAACTTCTAGTCCTGCACTCTATCAGCTGTGTAGTACGAGACTGTTATGATGTCACCGTGTTTATATTTCTCAGTAACATTGAAGTTGAAGTGGAGATGCCAAGTTCGGCACATACGTGCAGATCACGAATATCGCTTGGCTACGCAAACACGATTGTACGACAACCCGCTTTCCTAAAGTGACAACACACAATGACGTGAACCAAAAAAGTATATTTCACTATCAGCCACTGTATATCTTACACAGCAATATGTTCGATTCGAAAAAAATCACCAAGGAGCTGTCAGTTAGTCCATAGGCATGATCAATAAAATAGTGGGCCTTATTTTACCCAGTTTATTCCTGTTTAGTCTCTTTCTTTTTCCAAAATCGTTGTATCCGTTGCATAGGAAGACATTAAAACAGTCCCTGTCCCTAAACCTGGCAATAGCAAGAACGTAAAATTCAGACCCATTGCCATTACTTCCCCGTTTCTAAAGCTTATGGAAAAACGAGTACTATTTAAACTTGAACCCTCCCTTAAAAGCTTTGAAGACCCCAAACAATTTGCCTATAGAAAGGGTAGGAGGACTTTAGACGCCGCAGCCGTCTTACACAACAGTATCGTCTCATCATTAGGTAAAGATGCCAAATACGTCCGCTGCACGTTTCTTGACTTTACTTCTGCTTTCGACTCTGTACCCAGATGTCTGTTGCTAAATAAGCTCTCTATGACACAAACTGAGTCCTGGGTCACTAACTGGTTCCATTCCTACTTCTCTATCAGAATGCAGTACACTGCATACAAAGGTAAATCCTCCTCTTCTGTGCTCATTGAAGCTGGTGTCCCCCAAGGTGTTGTACTTTTCCCACTTCTCTTTTCTTTCTTTCTACATGACCTGCCATCTTCAAATGACATTAATTTTGTCAAATATGCTGACGACCTGACTGTATCTTTGCCTGTCAAATGTCAAAGTGACTGCTCTAAACTAAACGGCTTTTTATCAGAAATCACCCCATGGTCCAAGGAAAACGGTCTCACCTTAAATCCCTCTAAATGCCAAACAGTCAATTTCACCTTTAGGCATAAATTTGATCTAAACAAACTGGTTAGCACTCACGAGGTGTGCAACATAGATCGCACTGAAATAGAAACCAAGTCGAAAATTAAATATATTGGCGTCATTCTATCTGCTGATCGTTCCTGGTCGTCTCATATCTTGATGATTTCTAAGAAAATATTCCGTCTTACCTTCTACATCAAGAAGTTAAGACATTCTGGTGTAACCGAACCCTTACTCCTACAATTTGTTAACTCCCGTATTCTGCCTATTATTCTCTATTGTTTCCCCTTATTTTTTCCTGGAATACTGAAGAAAGACTATACCTTATTACGCAGGATGTTAAAGGTTGTCAGCAGGGTAAGCAACGTGCCACTTAACCAGCTTGTTAATATTCTGGTCGACAGGCGCATGGGCTCATGTGAAAAATGGGCTAAATCCATTTTATCTAACTCGCAACACCCTCTTCATTCACAACTCTCCCCTTGTGTCTCATCAGGCAGAACCAGATGCCTATATAGAAAACTATATGCTCGCTCTACTAAGTAAAATACTCATCCATACCCTAATTAGCTCGTGTTCTGTGCGATAAAGAAAGCATTAGGCGTGATACCTATAACTTATTAAATAGTCAGCAGAACAGCTGGATCTCGTCTATCCAACTCATATCATTTATAGGTACAACGTTTTCTTTCTTTCTTTGACTTTTCTCTCTCTTTTCTTTTATGTGCTTCTTTGTTTCTTTCTTCCTTACAAACTCTATTTAAAACTTTCTTCTTCGTTCTTTCACACTCTGTGTATCTCGACCACTTTGTTGCCGCTTACGCCAGTAAATATGCTAGCCTCTACTTTTCTAACACCTTCAAACATTCTGTTCACTTTTGGCTTTGCTACTGATATGCTAATATGTTGTTGTCAAAATTAACTGTGACTACCAATATTCTATGTAGAATATTATTTATTGGTTATATACAAATCGGATGCAATACTGTAGTGAAATGCTGAGAATTCCATTCTGTATCACAAGTACTGCTTTGGAATAAAGAAAATTATTATTATTATTATTTCGAGGCTGGATAACGAGCACCATATCACTAGTAAAGGATAGTCCATTGATTATCTGTCTACATATAAGAGAACCAACTGCTAAACAGATCATTAATCAATTTCGTAAAATTGACAGATAAGTCTGTTATCTACACAGGTTGAGGTAGGGCTTCGCTAAAATTTTTGGTTCAGTAATCGAAATTATTCAGATCACAGTATGTGATCTACATGATACTATAAAGGATAATCAAGAAACTAAGCATAAACACGTGCAGATATATACTTAATATCAGTAAAAGGTTTGAGCATTGTGGATTCGATCAAATAAAGTATAATTATATTTTAATAGTTTACACACAATGATAAGTTTTGTTATTGGTAATATTTCGAGCAAAATTACCAATAACAAAACTTGTCATTGTGTGTAAACTATTAAAATATAATTATACTTTATCAGATATATATATACTACTGATTGATTACGATGAGTAGATTATGGCGTCATTCAATTATGTTTTGCCTACCTAGTGATCACAGACTGTGATCTAAATGATTTTGGTTTCCAAAGGAAACTGTGGTGAAATTTCGCCTCCTTGATTCAGTGTATTCTCAGTTCACCTGTATCACTCGCAAGAATTCAAGGGGTTTTCTGACCCGATTCAAATAAGGTATGCCGCTGATAATTTCGGCTCCAAACGGGTGAAATGGTTGTCTGGTGTTTAGATCACTTCAACTTAGCCATGAAGCACTACTGCTTGATAATACAATGGTAATCGAGCTTTATTTCAGACAATACATTAACACAGTACAGAAGTTCACAACGTATTTAGTTAGAAAATGTTTCCTTTGCATGTAGAATTGACAATTAAAGTAATAATCTGAATTATATCATGTGACATAGTAATGTTGCATATAAATAGATTACCACTTCTGTAAGTTTTTTCTTTATTTCTTCCGAAAATTGCACAGCACTTAGTTGGAAGCTAATTAAGTCTGCGTGCGAGTTCATGTGGTGATCATCTGATACAATTGCATCATTTAAACAATTAGAAATTCATAAGATTCAAGCGTTAGTTTGTAGGGATTCGTTTGGTTACAGGATTCATCATGAGGTGATATTAGTTAGAGAACCATTGGAAAACATGCAGGGAGTACTGGACAACTGTTTCGTCCTGGTTTGGAACTCTCCAGTAGTACACACCCACCACAGGGATTCTAACCCACAGCCTTCTGGTCACAAGGCCAGCGAGTTCGTGGACCATTAATCCACTGGTAGCCGATCCAATGGCCAGCCTATAAGTCCTAACTTCTGCCAATTCACGACATAGCACGACCCCTAGCCAATGTCTTCGGCGAGTATTTGTCCGCATACGCGACCTGCTGCACCCTACTGGTCATGACTTATCACTAGAACCCCAGGTAACTACCTTCCCGAATAGGACAAGTCGCTAGTGAGCATCTACTGAAGAGTCCCAAACTATGACGAAACAGCCGTCCAATACTCCAAGGTTTTTAAATGGTTTTCTAACTAATGTCAGCTCATGATGAAATCCTGTAACAAATTCATAAGAGTTTAGGCATTTAGTTAGATTTAAAATTCCGGTGGTAGTCCAGTGATTTAAGCAGCAATTTAGCTGTTCCTCATACTGAAAAGCCTGAATCCACAGGTTGACTGTACAACTAAGTCCAGTGTATGCGTTGAAATCCTAACTGACACTTAATGAGTTCCTGTCTACGATGTTTCATTTTGTGTTACATAAGACAAACAACCCCACCCCGTAAAAATAAAATTACTTCTACTGAAACGTCAAAGCTTAAGCTTTAGACCCTATGTTCCACTCAGAACGCATTGGGATAAAATCAGTTAGTGATTTCAAGTGATAAAATTATGTAAGAAGGCCATGGATTATTTAATCATTTCCACATAAACTAAAGTATTTGATGTGTGGTTTACTGGATAAAAAGTAAAAGAAAGGTGCTGTCTTTCTAATGGTAAAGAAAATATGTAAACGAAAATATTTTTTGAAATATTAATTTAGATTTCTTTCTTCTCATTACAGATTGATGCATCTGGTACAGTTGAAAAGATCTTCGAAGATGTTATTCATGGACTTCAAAAATTCGGTGTCAAATAGAATCGCTTGTTATTTTCTCCGTCAGAGATATCTCATTCATCATTATATATCCTTCATTGATTATCACAGCTAAAAATATCTTCAGATAATCTTATTGTTATTTTTTATTTATTTATTTATCATACAATAATAATAATAATATTACCTATGTTAGTTTGTATTTTAACCGCAGCATCAGAAACACAACATTATCACTTATACAATTCATCTTTCTTTGTCAACTGCGTTAACAGAGTGTATTCGATTTTTTTGTGTTTATCCTATTCTATCCTATCCTATCCTATCCTCTCATTTGTTTACCCATAACTGTTTTCTGCACCCTAAGTGTGTATTTGTAATTACCAGTATTATCTTTATCTTTATATATTCAAGTGCCTGTATTCGAGTTATTATTAATATTATTTTATTTAGGTGTTTCAAAGTTATTTGCAGTTTTTACAATACCTTAACCACCTAAATCCCACTTAGCACACTCTATGTAATAAAGTGCTTTCTTTTAAGATTATGGGTTTTTTAATTGATTTATAAGTTGTATTGGTTTTAAGAAGGCATTTTGATAGGATGAAGCATCAAAGCTTCTACATATGGCTAATAATAGGTGGATATGAAGCCAGCTAACGCGCACAGGTGGCACAGGAGTAGGATGTTTGACAACCATGCAGGTGGTCTGCGGTTCGATCCCCGACCGACGCACTCCTTAACCTTGTTAAAGCCGATAACAAGACTGGTAAACACCACTGCTACTGAAACTTCAGGCCTCTAATCTGAAACCGTATGTTCCACTGGGAACGTAAAGGAATAACAAAAAACGTGCACCTCCTGACTTACATGGATGTTGTCATTACCGTCAGACATGGACTAAACTTGTCTGTAGATTCATTAAAAGCTGCACGTTTCAATTGTTTTACTAAAGATTTTAGAAGATGGTTGAAATATTTTATTGTGAATTATTCGTGAAAATTGATAAATAGCATTCTGCTGATTGGCTCATATTGGCGAGCTCGTATACAAATATGCCACTGGGACCCGATCCAATGGCAGCCCATAAATTCTGACTTCTGCCAATTCACGACATAGCGCGACCACTAGCCTATGTTTTTGGTGAGTATATGTCCTCCTACGTGAACTGTTGCACCCTACTGATTGGCACCTCCCACTTGAACCAAGGTTTCCTAGGGTTCTGTCCTGTCCTCTGCAGTCTTCTTTAACTTGCTGACTCTACGATTTTTAGTAAGCTGTCACCTCCTCAAGAGATTTCCTCCATGTTTCCCTCGGACCAAAGTCGTAATCAGCGTTTTCTATTGGAGTTTCACCCAGAGGCTTGTTGTACGGTATCACTCAAGGGTCTTCTCAGAGTATTTTATTCAGGATATTTGTTGAGTAACCAATTTGTATTTGGTTCGGAAGTATCTGTTTTCAGATGACAAAATTCGATTTGGATACCAAACTTTATTTTGGTTTCATCAAAGTCATTGCAAAAAATGCACATAAACAATAGTGTCTGGTGGGAATGAACTTCATATCTATTGGTTTTGACCATTTTATCCTACATCTATTACACAGACGCATTATTAAATTTTATTATTGCATAATAAACGAGAAAGACAACTACTATCTGTCAGCGTGAGAGGTATGACAAATACATTACCACAATTAGTTAGTGCATTTATAGACTTTCCAGTGGTTCTTTAACTGACGCCGACTCATGATGAATTCCTCCATGCAATCAAACAAAATCCCTACAAAACCAATATTTGAAAAAGAACGGATATCTTTTTGTACCCTCCCTTCAAAACTCTACAGTTATTTATGAATTTACACGTGCAGTGTTAATTATTAACAAAGGTCAAAGGTTATCACCAGTTAGTAAGAAAGATAAATCAAATTTCATGAAGAATAGCAGAGTCTGAATAGTCCTACATAATCAAGAGGATTGACAACCAACCAATTAAGTGATTAGTAGTCATTTGGAAATAACTGATAGGAAACGAGAGCCCAAGAAATCAAAAGCAAGCCAGACAAACACTCCCATGCAAAATATCATACAAAAGTCTATTAGGCAACAGACTAAGAAATGAAAACTGACACTGAGGCCACAGTAATAAAAAAATCGATTGAATACAACGTTTCTGAATAACGAGTTCACCTTTTTCTCACATAGATAACAAGATTTTCAGATGCAGGAAAGGAGATGTAAGCGAAATTCTGTTCTCTACTTTTATAAAATTAATACTTAGGCCTCAATGTATCATTTTAACTGGTGCCTCGATTTTAGTGCAATCACACCGGTGAAATGAGAAGCATTTTGCTTAAGTGTTTGTTTAGTTTTAGAAAATTATGTGGCGTCAGTAGTCAGTGTGAACACAGAGAAAAGTCCGAGATTAAGAGGGAGTAGATCTCTGAAGAGAGCAGTCACAAAATATCTTAGTAACGCAGGATATCTTGAATTGTTTTAAAATAATATACGAACAATCAAGCTGAAGTCTCCTGAAAGTTACAGAGGCGGTTGTTATCAAACGTTCTCAGCTTGACTGATGTATTCATAAAAGCTGTTTAAAGTCAAATAAAAGTATAATCATATTTCAATGGTTTACACAGAATGATAAGTTTTTGTTTACTTTGGTAATATTTCGGGCAAAATTACTGCCCGTGGTCACACCAACTGTTGGAATTGTTTTGCATTTAATTGAATATGGAGCTAGGAAAGTCAGCTGTTGACAAAGGACTGCAACAGGCTGCTGGAAGTACTTTTCGTGACACTAGCACCAATTGTCCGACTCAGATAGAAGAACCAACTCAGAATCCGTATTGTAAATCTGTATTTATTAGATAGTTGTAGGGAATCGGTCACAGGAAGCCTTGAACCTAGGTTTCGTGCTAGTTAGCATTCACCAGTTAGCAAGGGGTACCTGCAACCTTGAAGGAATTCATGTACCTTTTGAGATTCGAACCCGCGTCACCCAGTGCTGTAGTCAGAGATGTTACCACTAAGCTATTCGGGTTCGCGATTGACCTTATGTAGGACTGTGGTGGGTATTATCATTGGACACTAGTAACTGGTGTGACGCGTCTATTCCTTTCTTTGGCGCAGACTGAATTCTACCAGTCAGGTTTGTAATGTGGCCACCATTCTAGGTAGCTCACCATCATTGTACACATTGATTTGATGATATTAGATAGTTGGAGCCAAGCGGCAGGAAGCCTTGGACCTTGGATCTAATATCACATTGCCAACCTGACGGATAGAATTCAGTCTGCACCAAAGAAAGGACTAGACACGTCACACTAGTTACTAGTGTCCAATGAAAATAAATCTGTATTTTTCCTTCATGTTGTGTGCAGATTTCCACACTAATTTCAGAGAAATGAAGATGTGTCTTGCCTTTCCAATCCTGGATTTAACAGTCTCATCCATGTCGTATTTCTGTAGTTGAACCAACGCTTCCTAGTCTTTCAAATTTCTTCCGTTTATAGTGATTAGAATTCATGATTGGTTGGGTGTCTCCGTCACCTCTGTCTTTTCTACTGTTCAGTTGAAGTCCTGTCATGTGACAGATTGTTGATTTTCGCCTCTAAGTCTTCCATTTTATGTGACATTAGGCATACATCGTTCACCGAGTGCATATCCTCTAGAGACTTCTTATCGGTCTAGTGTATTTCTACCTAGTTTACTAGTTCACTGTTTTTCTGGCCGGTCCTAAGCCTGGGAAAAGAAGAATCAATTGAATTGGGATTAGCGATCCTACTCCGGTAAATTAATCTACTGTCTACAGAAATTTCAAAGCATGACTAAAATTAAAAGATAATTCAATTATTGGTTTGTGGGGATCTGAGTGATTGGTTACAGTATTTCATTATTATTATTACTGTTCTCTTCAGTTCCTAGTGGAACATAGCGCTTCAACTGTACGTCCCCACTTGCTAATGTCCTCCTTCTGCTGTAGCTTTTACCTGCATGCATGTTAGTTAGTCCGTACTGTTTCAACTCCTCTTCACACGATCTCCTCTATGTCACCCTTGCACCGACGACCCACTCACCGCTTGTTTTTCGGGTTCCACTTGAGCAATGGCCTGACGCGCGCGCGATGTCACCCAGCGGCCTCCTCAGCCACGAGTGTTTAATCCATCACCACTTTCTCCTGCACATTTGTTGGGCGATTGCTTCTTGTTTTGTTTGTTTGTTCCCATTGTTTCTTGTTGTCGGTGATTCTTTCCGGCCCGGTCATCTGATCTTCAGTATAGATCCAGCGAAGACAGATGTTTGTTGTTGAAGATCTGCAACAGGCTGTTGGAAATATTCTTTGTGACCCGCCCGCCAAGTTTCTGATCCGTATAGAAGAACTGACTGACTTGACGTTTGTATTGAAAATCCAACCGAATTTCGTTAGTGATGCTGAGTGAGTGACGAAGATTTCCAGATTGGTTCCAGGTTGATGAGTGTGTTTCTCGCCTTCCCGATTCTCACTCGACTTGACATCCTCGTCCGTTCCTCCTGTAGTTAAGACAGTCCTCAATGCTAGATAAGTGAGTGAATGAAGTAACCTCTTTCAAACCCCTCCCGTTGATGGTGATTGGAGCTGGATCTTGCTGATGTTGTTGTTGGTTGGTTATTTTTATAGCCTCCGTCTGGTCTATGTTCACTTGGAGTATTTCATAATGAGCTGAAGTTGGTTAGAGTACCATCAGAAGACATGGGAATACTGGGCAGCTGTTTTGTCCTATTTCGGGGCTCCTCATCAGTACGCATCCACCACAGAGGTTCGAACATAGGACCTTCTGGTTACAAAGCTAGCGAGCTCGTATATCAATAAGCCACTGGGACCCGATCCAATGGCCAGTCGATGACAATTCACGACATAGGGCGACCACTAGCCTATGTTTTCGGCGAGTATTTGTCCACATGTATTATCTAATGGTCAATCAGTTTATTAATGAAGAACGTATTTAATAAACAAAATAATGAAGCGTTAAACTTTAAATCACAGTTAATAAATGCCGATAAACAAATCAATATAAGGACCGGGATAGGTAAGTTCAGTTCTATAAATCTGTTTACCTTCAATTACATATATAAATAAGTATACATCGTATTATAACAGTAACGTGCATAGTGTAAATTCAAGTAGTACAATAAGCATATATTTTCATGAATTATAAATAACACAATCAAGTAATTGAATATAAACATTTAAAATGTTTCTGAACATAAGTCAACATAATGGCGACTGATTCATATATTTTACACTGTTTCGACTGACTTTTCGATGTTTAAATGTGTATAAATCGTAATTTATATTAGCTGAAACACATCAAATTTTGTAGTTTGCATGGCTAATAAAGTGAATTCTAGTTGAAAGATAATTCATTAGGTGTTCACTTGATCTGTATAGTTTCTTTCGTGGACAAGGTTAATGTACAGTTCCAAAGGAGTTACAGGAAGTGAGATAAAGAATGCATCACGGTATGAATAGGTGAAGAAATAAGGTTAGGCTAAAAAT